TGCCATAAAGTTTATACTTCTTACTAATAAAACGTCATCAGAGACTTTCCTGTTTTGTCTTCATGTCACTATTAGCGCAGACGTTCACTGTGACCGGCTCGGTTCCTCCCTATGTTTTCTTTACCGGGTAATAATGTGGAACATTTATTCTGTGCCCCTCAATTCTGTAAGTTTTTCATCGTGATAGGAAATACCAGGCATAAACTCTGACCCCACAGTCTGAATGTTAAATGCCAGCTACTATGAGTGAATTATGATGATGAACAGAAAGCAATTTCCACAGTTTTAGTCTTACTTGAACCAAACCCAACCAAAAGGAATTATTTTTTTAAACTCCTAACCGTAAGTATTAAACATAGAGACATTGTGCAATTACTTTAAAAAAACGTACAAATTTGACTTTTTCCTCAGATGACGAAAAAAACAAGCGCATGGCCATTTCTACAGACCACATATTTCAATAAGCCACATACACAGTCACACTGCAGCTAATTTCGGTTGTCAGTTCAGCTTTTAGTGCTCAATTTAGTTCAGTAATTTAGTTCAGTAATTTACGGGAGTGACAACCGCATTAAAACTGCAGGTAGTGACAAACACATTTACAAAAATTTTAAGCATTGTGTACGGAACCGAACTGAACAACTAGTTGTTAATGATGTACAACGAGAGATATGAGATATGACAAACAAGAAATACATCTCTGATGCACGTTAAAATCCGTATTTTAATTTGCATCATAGATTTATCTCTCGTCTGTATGTGAGGTGAAATCACAGGGAAAGCGGTAAGAGCCTTTAAAGGGTTAGTTCACACAAAAATTTAAATTACTCACCCTCATGTCGTTCCAAACCCGTTAGACTTTCGTTTATCTTCAGAACACAATGATATAAAGCGACCGTGTCTCTTCAGAAAATTTGGACTAAACCACTTAATTCAGGTGTATTCATTTTATGATCTATTTATGAACTTTTTGAAGCATCAAAGTGGTAGTTGCGTAGACTGTCAATGGAGGCACAGAAATCTCTCAGATTTCATATGAACGAAAGTCTTATGCGTTTGGAACGACATGAGGGTGAGTAAATGATGACAGAATTTACATTTTTGGGTGAAATAACCATTTCATTGACTCATTCCTGTTGCCAGATCTTGCTAGCAAATCAGCAAACAAGACCAAGCCCATAAAAACGAATAAATGAAAACAAGACAGAAATATCGCGACATGCACCTACTCACTTTAATAACTCCATAAACTCTATAGCCAAGCTTAAACAACACCACCAAAATTGCTTATAGTAAGTAGACATGGCATCACGGCAAGAGTTACCTTTATTAGTATTACCTAAACAACATAAGCAACCCAATTTATTTTCGCACAAAAACTGTGAAAAAGTTATTCATTTACACACACAAAAAAATTAAAAGAATCAAATTCCAATGCAGTCTAAATGAAGGGCCGGAAAAAAAATGAAAATTGAAACTGAAAACTTTGCAGGCCCGCACGCGCACTGCCACATGAGAAAGCAGGCGAGAGCAGAGGCCTCTTCAGGAAGATTAAAAGGCCTTTTTCCATTCTGCAATGGAGCGCAGGGGTAAGAAGGGCCACAGAGACGATCTCATTACAGACTAACACGCAGCAGCTGCCCTCCTCTCACCATTTCCTTTTATTTTCCAGACATTCTCAATGCTTGGTTAAAGTGTTTTAAATCAGACACTTCTCTGGAGGCAATATGATTTATTTTATTGTCCCTCAAGTGTTCCACTGACTGTCTGACCCTCGGTGACCTTTTCGGCTCCCCCGTTGCTAAGGCAACACTCTTTGTTCCTGGCCACTACCCTGGGTGTGTGATCCCGGGCGTATGGAGGACTGTTAATGTAACAACACAAAAACATCTGAGGGAAAATAGTATTAGCTGCTTCTATAAACAATTTTTTCCCATTCTTCGTCCCGTTTTTTTTTACTCTCGCGGATTCTTTCTAGGATAAACAACCTGGCTAGATAGAAGGAAGTACTTTGCGGCTGGTCCAATGAGATAATATATCATTTTTTTGGAAGGTGCTAGAGGTACAGATGAGATATGAGGCGTTAAAAGCTGCAGATATGCTGAATGGGTCAGGTATTTCTGTGTGGGAAACAGCAGCAGGCATTGCTTCATTCTCAGAGGGATGGACTGGGATACAGAGGGGATGAAAGTCTCTGCTGGTTGAGTTACTACTCGTGGTGGCATCCAAATAATTCCTGACACAAAATCAAAACTGATCCTATGTGCTTTCTTAATAAATGCCCCTAGTGAATGATTCAACAGTTACGCTAAAGAAAGAAAGAAAGAAAAAAAAAGGTGTGTTTCCATAGTCTAATGTGATAACTTCCTCTGCCTCTTTACTGTTCAGTCAGAAATTAAAATAGTTGCAAGCCATATTTATTTCCTTTCTTCCATGAAACACAAAATGAAAAGTTTCCATAAAACAAACAAAAAAAAGCACCATAAACATGATTTGCACACGACAAAAAAAAAAAAAATTATGTTTTGAAAAAAAGTATTGTAAAGTCACTAAACCGGTAATATTGGTAAAAACAATATCCGGCCCAAAAAAAAAGTTTCTGTTTGGATTACCAAATATTGATGCACCTCTTGATGTAAATAAATGTTGTGATGTTCTTTCCATCAAGAGGTGCATACTTTTTTGGTCAAGATCTTATATTGTAAAGTCCAAAGACTTTCAATGAATGTACGGTCTGGACTCAAAGGTGCCAAATTCATGTGTGAAAATGATTCTTCATGCTCCATCCCAACCATTCTTTCACAATTTGAGCTTGATGAATTTTGACATCCTGGAATATGGCCATGATGTGTCTTCATACATGGATGTTTAAGAAATAAAAAGCTAAACACTCCATCAGTTAGGGTTAGAAGAACTGTTGCCAAACATATAACATGATAGAAACATAATAATCACTGCAATAATGATCCAATCACAGACTGCATTTGACTATTTAAATCTAGTGTATTATCACAATTTAGCTGTTTTCTATTGTAATATATTTTAAATATACAGTGTCAGCAGTGTCACATGATCCTTCAAAAATCATTCTAATATGCTGATTTGCTGCTAAAGTAACATTTATTATCGTTATCAATGTTGGAAACAGTTGTGCTGCTTAATATTTTTGTAGAAACTGACAATTTCTTTTTCAATATTCTTTGAAAGTTCAAAAGAGCGGCATTTATTCGAAATAGAAATCTTTTGTAACATTATAAATGTATTTTACTGCAACGCATGATCAATTCAATGCATCCTTGCTGAATAAAAGTATTAATTCTTTTTAAAAAAAAATCTTACTGACCCCAAACTTTTGAACAATTGTTAGAGTATGTGTCCCAACCAGTCTGCCACCCAAAAAAAAAAAAATGGCTCCGAAACATGATTTTAAAACCAGTGATTTCTTAACAATTTCAAGGTGAAAAAAGTTGGAAGAAAGCTCTTTCATGGCGAATAAAGGAATCACATTTACTGTAAATGTCTTAAGCCCAGAAGCACATTTCTGTGCTAATGACTAAAGACTTAAAGACTTACTCACTGGTCAACATTTTCCTATTTTATTCACACAATGGAGTCTATTCAGTGAAATCAAAAATATAGGTACAATTCCAAATGATTTTCAACATGAATAAATACTGATGGCCGTGCTGAAATAAGCATATGAAGTTTCAACCCTCTAGTTAACCGGGAAGAGTCTTTGGAAAGGTCAAACTAATTTGCTGTAAGCTTCTGAATGTGTATTTTCAGCTACTGCGAAACAAAAATAGGCAGATTTTTTATAACTAGTTATTTCTTAAAAACACATTTTAAAGGTAAAAGTGTTCAAGAAGAGACTTTCATGTTGATGATATACTGATCAAACTGAAATGTGCTCAGTACAAAATCAGGGTTCCTTATTTTCAACCACTGTGTGCTAACGGAGAACTTGAATAACTCTTGGTCAATGACACAAAGTACACTTAAGAGTCTGGAAATTAGGAAATGGCCAGTATGACCTAAGACATGAAAGTATTCAAAGGAGCCAATGACGTACTGTCCCATAATACACAACACTTACTTTATACTGCTATTAATTACATGGAACATTCACTGCTTGACCCTTTGGGATTTCCCACTTGTTTTACATTTGGTCCATATTATGTTTGGATTTTAAGTAATTGATTGGACATTTTATCTAAAGTTTGAACCTACAACCTTTCGGTTACCAGCCCAGATCTATAACGGCTATGCCTGTTAACCATGATCTGCAGAAAACATGGCGAGGAAATTATACCAACTCCCGACAACTGACGCTAGTGGTTCCTGGTTCAACACCAGCTGGTTTAAGGGTCCAATTTTTCCAGCCTTGTCTTCGGTGGAAACATCCAGAATAAGCCCAGACTGGGCACTGCCTCCGGTACCATGCCGGTGGAAAGGGGGCACATTATTCATCAAGAATAGTTGGTTGAGTTAAGGAAGAAAAGAAATAGCATCCATGTTTAGTCCAATTAAAGGTACAGTTCACCCAAAAATGAATATTGTCATAATTTATTCACCCTCATGTCATTTCAAACCTGTATGACTTTCCTCCTTTTACAAAACACAAAAAGAAGATATTGTGAAGAATGTTTCAGCTGATGTTCAGTGGAAGTCAATTAGATCCAAAAGTTTCAAGCTCCAAAAAGGATATAGCGTAAAAGTAATCCAAGCTCGAATGGTTTAATTCAAGTTTTCTAAAATTAAATTAAAATCACTAATCATCAACTAATGTACACAGATCCCAAAACCAATATGATGACACCACAATAACATTAAACCTCACTTGTGTCACTTACTGTAACATTATGACACAAGAACCAATGAGGTTTGGCGTTATTGACATTTCACCATATTTGATTTGGTACTTGAGAGTGAATAAACACTTAAACCTCTGTACTGTTCACCAAAGTCATCATATCACTTATCAATCATAAGACTGCACTCAAAAAAATGATTCTTGGCACTAATTGAATTTAAGCAAACAATTTAAATAAAATATATTTAAAAATGTATAAAATAACCTTTATTGTTGCGAATTACTCGTACACAACATGAATGTAATGGATCCAAATCCAAACTGATCAAATTACATACACTGTACTTGATTTGCTGCCATAAGGGACAAATACAGAAGTTGCGCATGCGCACTAGAGTGGAAAAAGAAAAAAAGAAAAAAAAAATGAACAGAAGGCGGCAAGTCGAGTCGTTGGAGGTGCGATACAAGTCAGCCATTTGCGTGAACAGATGTGGAATATTCGACAAGGTAAGATATTTTCTATATTTATGAATGATTAAGACTTCAATATCAACTATTTTTATAATTAAATCGATCGGATTTAATAAATATCTTATTTTCGCTGTGACTGCACTTCAGACGAATTAACTTTTTCGGCTTTCCATTTATATAAAAGTAACATTTATTGTCGACTGACTATGTGCATCATTTTTGAATTTAGGCAGATTACCTAGCGTATGATTTTTGATAACGGCTCCGTGATGTCGATGTCCATCTTAACGTTACTTTGTAATATGCCAAAACGTTGCACAAACACAGTCAATCGAACGTACTGTAGGCCTATATGAAGGTTACCGTATATACAGGTACAATTGTATAGGATTTCTAGTTAAAAATAATATTTAAAAAAATATTTGAGATTTTGATCATTTTAAGATATAGGCCTACGGTCGACTGACTAAGTTGTATGTGCGTCATTTTTAGTAACAACTTGTCATCTCCACGTAAGTTAGGCCTACAGTTTAGGCCTACTTTGCTTGAAAAATACTTTGAATATGCCAAAACATTGCACAAACATACTTAATCGACCGCATATGAAAGTTATCTACATGCAAAGGTGTATAGGATTCCATGAAGTGGAACAAGTGCTTTCTTTTTTTCATGCTGAGTTGTAATTTCATTACCAAAAAAATAAAACTGGATGTCTTTGTTATTTCAGAGTCCTCACTTCGATCTGACACTATTTCAACATTTCTGGCTCTGGTCAGGCACAATCACTCAGTTACGGTAGGTGTATTTTTTTCTTTGTAATAAAGTTAAACTTGACTAATTTCTTTGCAAAACTGTGATGTCTGTTGTTTTCTCTCTCTTTTTGAATTTCAGATATGTGAGTTTTGGGAATGTGGCAATGTAAAGTGTGTGGCACAGAATTATCCAGTAGGTATGAGTTATTGAAACATTCTAAGCTTAAACATGGATATTTTGGGGCAAGGTTCAGGCATCCTTATACAGTAATTGTCCTTGCACTTTTAATTCATGGAATAACCTCCTAAGTCATATATACCGTGTCCACCGTGATCAGTCATTTCCAAAACAGGAACAGTTAGCCACCTTTTCATGTCAGCTGTGCGCGTGCATTGAGTCAAATGAAAGAGATGCTTATCCACTCTATGATTATATGGTAGGAGGAAGACGAATGGTAACCCTGAAGAGGCACATCCTCATCTAAGGTAAAGTGTTTATTAAGTGTTTTTTATTTATTTAATACAAGTAACAATGGTAAAAATTGTTTTAATGGTGTATTTTTTTTTCTGCTTTGTTTCCTCTTTTAGAAAAGTAGAGAAAAATGTCAAGTCCGGCCATTTTGAAGATTGTTTTTTTGGTGTGGATGACGATGCAAGAAAACTTGCACTTAAGACAGGAATCCCAAAGTCTGTGGATGACCTTGTCCTTGAAATAATGACTGTTTTTGGGGTGAAGCAAAAGTTCAGGCTCCCGTACAAAGATAAGGACTTTGGAAATGAATACATGCATCTCATGTCAACCAGTCAAATTGAAGACTGATACCCTGAAAATGATTTTTCTATCAACTGATGACTCTAGCATGCAAGAGACTGCACCTAATGCACCATTCCTGCTTTTGTAGCTCTGATACTCTTGACACGAGAGATGTTAGCCCTTGTGCTATTGTCTCAGTCCAGGAACTTATTTGATGACTCTTTTTGCAGCAGCGCAGAGACTGTTTTTATTAAAAAAAATTCTTGGCATCAGGTTTTTTTTGGTTCCTGTGTTCTGCTGAAATTCAGCTTCAGAGAGCTAACACAGAGTTCAGCAACAGTGTAATGCTCCATGGCAGCTGAGGCAGTGAGTAGACCACTTAGTTCTGGCCTAAATGTTGAAATGTGAAAACGTGTTATAACAAAAATGTTTTTGTTGAAACCCTGTTATGTAAAAAGTGTTGAAAACCTGTTATATGTATATAAAAAAAAAAGAATGTGTGTGTACTGTACATATATATATATATATATATATATATATATACACACACACACACACACACACAGTATAACACACACAGGTTTAAAACTAAGAAGTGTAACATGAGTGATAACCACAGAAAGTACAGTTTGGGAGGATGCATAAAACTAAAACAGGATTAATTTGTAAAGTGCTGTATTATGTCCTGCTTCGATTTTTTGGTTTCTTTTGTGAGACTGGATGTTTAAAGCAATTGCACACAATAAATGTTTGAAAATTTAACATGTTTTTGACTGTTTATTCAATAGAATTAAGGAAATGTAAGATAGTTATATAAAGCAAGTAACAACGATTTATTTGAAATGAGTAAAGTTTATTTAATAGACAATCTTAAATCACAGTTCATCGGTTCACATAACAATTATTTAATTCATTCACGTCACCTGAACAAGATGGTGAAGCTTAAATTTTTTTTTAACCTTTTACGTTGGATTTATGTGATTAAATTGGATGGAAAATTGACATCCAATTGAAATACATAAGTTTTAACTTTTGGGGTTAAATATTTTTTTGAGTGTGTATGTCCTTTTTGGAGTTCCCATCTGTTACCAACTTTTTCCCAAAATTACTTTTGGAAATGACATGAAGGTCAGTAAATAGTTATAGGATTATAGATAATAGATATATTACAGAGATAATTAGGCTACCCTTTTAAGACATTGTATAGCGACAGAAGCAACCCTGGAAAAGGGAAGCAAGCGTAATTCCACAAAATTCAAGAGCGTAGAGACATCATAAATATATGTAGGTTTACATGTTCTCTTTCCAGAAGCAGTAGTTCTGGAACATAAAGTGCTATGACTTCCCATGTCTTTTGTGATTTGTCAGGGTCTGCTGATTGCCTTTGGAAGAGCTTCCTGAGAATCCACCTTAAACTTTTCTTCTGGAACCGCTTTTTTCCATCAGGGGAAGAGTGAAGTCTTTGCAGTTTGTGTCATGGGTTATTTAGATTTCCATTGCCCCTCTATGTGATTTGAAGTAGAAAGCAGGGAACACGCAGCACCCCACACTGAAATTTAACGGCACACGGAGAGATGATGGTTTCTCCAGATGGAACATTCATTTGAGAACCTGTGAGAGATTTACACCGAAGTAAATCTAAACACTATTACAAATGACCAATACAGAAAGAGGGGTAACCCAATGCCGCTGCTTGCACCCAACACAGGAAAAGTGCTGGCGTGTTGTTAGATAATACATGGAAACATGTAGCTCACGATAAAATGTGGTTTTTCTGAAACAGACGAACCAGATATCTGTGCGCCTGTGATGAAAGCAATGCAAATTTTGACAGTATTACTGTGTTCTCAACCTTTCTAATGGCGGCTTTCCAAATCCAGCGCCAATGTTCCGGGGAAATAGGATTGGAGAAAGCATTTCACATTCGTCTGCGGCAAACGAACTCCAGCTGAACGGCAATCAGGGGGAGCGCGCAGACCCATCTTTAAAAGTCCAAGAGGGACAAGCCGTGCCATTTTTGCTCTGACCGCACAGAAATTGAGTGGGCAAGTTCGCCGACAGTGCGTCCAGCACTTAACACGCATGGTGTGTGGCGCGTTCCTTGTCCGCAGATGTGTTTGTGTTGGGCCTGAGACTTGCACTCTCTGGTTTGCCTTTCTTCAGCTGTGCCATTGTGTGATGGGGAAGCTCCAATGCGATGAGCTTACACATGGACTCTTCCAGGCATGTCTTACCGCAAAGCAATTGATCTGATACTCCCCGTGATGGCGGCTTTGGAGGCCATTTTGTTTTGGGGTTATTGTAACACCCTCTTCCCGGCAAAAATAGAATTGTGGGCCAATCGTTTGAGTCACTAGTTGATTATGGGAAGACCACTTCTGGTCATTCAGTTCCAGGAACCTGCCACTGCGATATGGACGTATTGGATTCACTGCAGAACGTTTGGAGCTTTCAATGCCAGGTCGTGTGATGCATTAAGGTCATAATGCTCTGCAAATTGTCCAACAGCCAGCCAATCAGTAAGGTTGTGAAGTTGCGGACAGCGTTCTTAGCTTTAGCTGTTACTTTTGTTAAAACCTTCTTGGAAAAATTGTATCTTTAAATTAATCTCCAAACTGATTTAAATGCTAAAGATGCACTGAAATTTCAGCTGCCAAAAAATGTCAAAAACTTTCACAAGAGGCCAAAAACCTTGGCTGAAAATGTGCACAGAAACTGTTTAACATCCAATAAAAGAATATTTGACATGGACAATAAGCAGTGTGCTCAGGAAATTATCCAGGGCTAATTGGATCTAATGTGAATGATTAGGATGATACATCCAAATCCAAACATCGTCTGCACATCACAGACATCTATTCTTTTGGGACAAGAGTTTGTTTAACAGGAATATTAAATTGAGCAACACATACAGACTACATATTGACTATTGGTAGTCAACTAGTGGGCCAGGGCCTATAGGGGGTCTCAAGAAACTCGTAAGCGGGCCTGAAGATAACTAATATAATTTAAAATAGGGCAAAATAAGCACTAAAATAAAAATATATCATTTAAATGTTATATATTTTTAATAATGAATATAGCTTTTATTTAGTTAAGCCAAGCTCTAAAATATTTTATTGGGCAAACATTTTTTTTTAAGAAATCCTTATTATACTTATCTAGTAAAATCACGGATGACTGAAAAAATAATTCATTGGTTAAAAAGAGTGGGAACCTTGAAGACTTTCAGCCCTAAAAACTTCAGAAATCCTAAAATTTAATTTACCGAAACTAAGAATAACCACAGATTAAAATAAGTTTTGAAAACAAAATATTGCCTTTGAATATTGTTGTGGACAATGAAGGACAATGGATTCAAAAAGGTTGAGAACCACTTAGAACCACTACGTTGTTGAAGTTTAGATATTCAACAAAGGATAATTATTTATCATAATATAAGTTTATTTTTACATAATTATTTTAAAGGTACAATATCTGAGAAATTTTGTATCAAAATATCAAAAAACCACTTGCACAGTGTTATATATTCCTTTCAATATGTACTTACTTTATCCTAAATGTTTCCAAGAATTTGTAAATTCAGATAAATTCACAATTTTAAATAGTGCCCGTCACTAGTCGTCTGTCAATGACGTAATATCCGCGTTATCCCTGGTTTCCGCTTGCACTGCCATAGTAACCATGGCGACAGATGTGGACAACTGCGTAATGTTTAGCGGCAAGCTGTTGTTGTTTTGTTCAAACATTATGGACCATTGCAAGCAGACTTTGGGACAAAAGGAGAAATAAAACGAGGATCAATATCAGTGGGGCGTTTTTGAGATGCTGAGTGCTCCACTTCCGCGACTAACTTCGATTTGACGAGACGCCACTCTTGCATGTACTTTATTAGACAGGTGAGCAAATGTACATAAAACTAATCAATAGTTATATTGCTCAACATGATGAAATGTTAGAATATGATCAGTATGTTATTCTGATGTTGATCTAGCTCACTGCTAGTCTCATACAGCCAACAAACTAACACATAGAATAACATTATAACTTTCAACACACTCAAATGCAGTTTAGTGTGATAGTGTAACGTTAGACCAAGTGAAACAGCGCTGAGTTACATCACAAGTTTAATTCGTCTAATAAACTGACCTGTGTGAGTATTATTCAGCACTTGGGGGTAGTCCGGTAGAATGAAATGTCCTTATTCCTTTATATCCACGGGACTCGCGTATGGCACTGATATATCTGTCTCTTATTAGCAATCGCGCCCTGCTTCATACCACTGTAATGTTAAAAAACATGAATGTTTTCACTCATCCATAAGCATTATTAGATCCATCGGCTTGACGACAAGTTCCATGATTCCGCTTATCACTGCGTCATCATTCTACGCCTTTGTTATTGTAAGAGGTTAGCGACCCCTAGCGGCGAAAAAAATGACATATTGTAGCTTTAACTTTAGTTTTCTAGTATATAAAATCAACTAACATATATTTTTGCTATTCCAAGACAATTAAAAATTAAATATACAAAATAATTTTTACAAGTAAAATATATTTTAAAATGGATTGTTATTATTTCAAACAAAAGCCATTTTAGAATTATATCTTCAGTGTTTGTTTGAGTGTGTCCATAATTTTCATTCCAAAAACTGCTTGCAAAATACGGCACTATGGCAAAACAAGTCCTTGATATTGAACAAGTATAGCAAACACTTACTGCATCCTGAAACTCACTAGAGAGACTAGATGCAACAAATATCACACAGTCCAGAACACATAATAAAGTACTATTCTCCAACAGGACAGAATGAAGAGAAGAGCAGGTGTGCACAATAAACAAGGGGAAAACACTTCCTGGAGTGCCGCCCATTCGGTAGTGGTCATCGTTACGACCTACTCTCTGGAAAGAGAAAACTCCTATAAGGACTCAGGGAATAGGCATCACGAATTGCTGTGGTTTGGCATCATCATCATCCAGATTTCCACAGAAGGAGTGAGATGAAATTTCACAATGTTTTTATTAGTATCCATTCACTTTTTTTTGCTTCATTGTTGTATAATTTATGTAAACAGTTCCTAGATCATAGTCTGTGAAGACAATCAAAGTTTGTTTGACTTTGGAAAAGTTTCCAGTGCCTTTACCATGCGGTAAATTCAAATTTGTCATTCAAATTAAAGTCAGGCACTATAAAAACATCTGCATCTTTATTTCACGGAAGTCAAAAGGTGTCAAATTGAATGGCCGATTGAGCTCTACAGGAAGGTCTATGAGAAGGTAATGCCATGGGATGCAAGAAAGGGTATGTGTGAGGGTTTAACCGGGTCTCTATCTGTATGGCCAGATGCCAGTGCGTGAGGTGACTGGCAGCAGGAGGAAGTTGGCGTATCTCCAGCCTATAACATGAACAGCTGGCTGTGCTCCAATACAGCTGGGAAGAAAAGTGAGTCAAATGGTAC